AATTTTAGATTTAAGCACACTAAAGCATTAAAAACAGGTAGGTCGTTATTGTGGGATCATTTGTTGTTAAGCTGCAAGGCAGGATGATCATTGATCGTGGCTTTATATCAAGTAAATTTAGTCTACGCTTTGTTCCTCTCTTCGCCAGGGATTGTAAGTATGGCAACCTGGGTGAAGTTTGCAACAATATATGCATGTGTCTGCATTCTCGGCGTATTTGAACTCGACAAGTGTAAACTATATTGTGGATGCAGAATAGTCGTGTTCGGCTACTCCATGATTGCTAAGGATTAAAATTGTTAGGACCATAAGAACCAGATCAAAAGACGTTTCAGTTGGTGCCTAATCTTCCTTTTCATGAATACGCTTGTGTGTCAACTCTTCGGCCTAATTGTAGCTGACATTCTGTCATAGTTGAAGGACATAAATTCGATGGAATCCTTTCTGCTCCTGGTTTGGTTATTCAGACTGTGCAGCCGTGCTTTGCTTAAAAGTCAGTACGCGCTCCTGAAGCATACAAGCATCCAATAAATTAAACAGCGTATGTTCCACGTTCACCTTCAGGTATCAACCGGTAGCAAAGCTGGACAAGTATAAGCATACATATGACGAATAGGATGGTCGAAGACGCAAAGCCAAACCATAGACTTAGTGGGAAAGGTTAAGTTCTACTTACTGTAGTTAGGAACCGTCTGCACACTTTGGATGATGCCACTTGGAACATGGTAAGCAGGCTTAACATAGGTTAAATAAGCATTTTGATTCTCCGGACGCACAAGCGCCATGTGTATGAAGCCAGTATTGTTTTGTGTTTATTTGCTTTCTGGTACTTAGCATAATGTCGTAACGTGACGCAAAGAGATCGGTTATGTTGTGTGCATTTTCGAATTTAGTCCGTTGCGCACATCAGTCAAATATATATATATATATATGTGTATAGTCGAGCAAAGATGTTAACAAATAAAGCATACTCCAGCTGGACACAACAAGATAAAGGCCAGTAACTTGAAGCTAATATTACAGTCTACATTTAATTCTCTGATAAAGTTAATGTTTCCGATCACTAAGCTTTATCACAAAAACATTAATTTATGCGGTACAACTTTAATACTGATATTAATGTATAGCACTTAGCACTATAAATTGTATGTTAGTAATTTCGTAACCAGTTCCTGTGTTTTGCTTTTCCAAGTCATCTTTTGTTAACCTGAATGTGTGCTCTTCATCCGACTCGAAACGCAGGATAAATTCCACTTTCGTATATTCTCTGTGTGGACCGTTTACAACGCAAGTGAAGTTCTTGTAGGCCGATATTTTCCTCGTATTCGCCATATTGTCAAACTAGGTAATAAAAGAGAGTAAGTGACGAAAGTACAATATTTTCTTTAGTACGGTATATTCATAACAACTTGCTGTGTTTGGCAGCTTCCGGCCTATGCGTTATTAATCTATGGTAACTTGCCAATTGTGTAACTTTTATGGCTTTTTTGTCTAAACGCAATCTGGCTCTCATAAGTAAATATTCGTGGACTAAAATGGGCATGAGAGGTTGCACCTGGGTTAATGTCAAGGGCAAACAGAGCCGCATATGCCATGTTCGTCTAACCTATGTTACCGCAGTGACCAACCTACCGTATCTTGTCAATGATTTAACGACAAACGGCAAAGATCTAAATTAAACGAGTTGGTACGCATACGGTCCACTGTGTTAATAACTTGTCACAGGGAAACATGTGTGTGCTTTGCGATATTAGTTTGGTTCGCTAAACAAATGCTCGCGACATGCCAGCTTTTCTCGTCAAATTTATAGCAAGTTAGCAAAACCGGAAAACAATAGAAAGATACTAATCCAACTGGGACATGAGCTACGTTTCACATGGTGTGTAGAAATTCCAGTTAACGGTATAATATCTTGTAAGGTTTATAGTGGTTCGAATACATTAGTTGGCCACCGCCGTCTTCCAATCAGCGTGAGTCACGAAAATGAATACCACAGCGAAACATGCGTACGAATAAACTCAAAAGCCTTGCTAACTTTCGAGCAGTTCGTCGCTGCAATATGCATAACCTCAGTTGTACTGCCATATGCGCTGAGCCAATTGCCCGATAAATCATCTCCGACTGATCCCATGGCAACCCGGATGGCTAATTTAGTTTGACCACACAAAGAATTCGAAAGATACAAGCACAATCTGGCATAAGGAGGTTTCACTACCACGAGAGCAAAAGGACATTTAAGTGAGTGTTGATAAGAAGCGGGTTGTCAGTTTTTGTTTAGGCTGCAACCCTTGCAAGCTGTTGCAAGGGAAGATTTAAGGGCTTACACGAGCGAGATGACATCGATTTCAGTGGTGCTAAGAAGCGAATTGGTTGATTGTGTTGAGGCTGCAACCCTTGCAGGTTGTTTGAATAGAAGCTTTTTGAAGGCTTAGCCGTGGACTGCACGGTTGCCTTACTTGCTCGCTTGCCTATCTCGCCACGCTTGGTAGGGTATGCAGTGTAATCTTGCTACTGCGAGCAATCTGGAGAATCGATAGGTGTGTGATTTCCTTTAGGAAGTGCATGTGATTGTTAAAGCAGTGTGACATAAGCAGAAGCAATAAAGTACTTTGCATGAAGGAGGTAAATATAGGATTTGTTAGTAAATATAAATTTTAAAACCTTTACAGCTAATAGGTTTCTCGTGCTGCGTTGTTTCACTTGGCCGTACACTCATGTGAATAGCGTAAATACCTACTGTTGATGTAGTCGGCGAATTGTATACTAAGGTCATATTCACTGGGTATGTAAGAGCATCATTGGATCTGTAGCTATTGTTCCAAATAGCAGGGCTCCCAGTGTGGAGACGACACGACATTAGTGAGTGTTCACTCGTGTCCACACCTGTGGGCCACGTCGGTAATCAGTTACTGCTTCCGTACCCATGGATCTGCTATTATTTAAAGGTCGTAGATGCATGTCAATCCTGCTTTTCAACATGATATTTACGCCTCAGTTCCATGTGAATGATAAGCTTGAAATACCAGGTGACCGTACGGCCCTAATATGAGCTGCGAACAAGCACCGCATACGCAGTGGAAGCATAAGATTTGGAGCAATTCTCCTCCTTCAAAAATATTTCTGAATTTACCTACTTTCCAATAGCGAATATTTTCCGAGTAGTTGCTAAGTGGATGACAACTTATGTCACGGCGTGCACACACGAGTGCTTCTAAAACCGGCTGAAACAGTGGTCCATAGCAGTATTGGTCGGCGCGGCTGCCTTTGTAAATGATTCCACATATGCTGTATGAACGCCCGTGGGTGAGACAACAGTGTTTGTCTGTTCCAAGTACTCACCTGAATCAACACAGTACAATGCTTGAGTCGCCACCAATTTTCTGCCTTTGCGTTTTTTCTAGCAGGACAATGTGGCATGCATAAATGCGGTGGTCACTATAGCCCCTTTAGGTGGTTCTTTGTTTATTTATGCTGATTTCATGAGTATAGCATTCCGGTCCATGGACTTAATAGGAATGTTTCATCGGCATTGACTGTGTTTCTAATGGTGCCATTCGGAGAGCCAATTGTCAAAGCGTCTCAACAAATATGCGCGACCATTTGGAAGTAAAGCCTAATTATCCTAGGTATACATAGGTTCCTATGACCTTTACTAACGCCATACATGGAGACAATGTGGCAATAACTGATTAACAATTCGCCAATGGGTGTGGAGACAAACGGACACTAACTAATGTCGTGTCAACGCCACACTTGGAATCCACTTATTTTTTGTTGATTCATCAAATATGATAGAATTAATCACCCTTAGAACTTTCGATGTTCAGCTTCAGGTTGTTCTACCAAATTCAAGGAGAACAATGTCCCCCATAGTCGTCACAATAACAACCAAACAAAATTGTCTAGCCGCCGAGCAGCCATTGCTGATTCAGATTTGGCTGTGCAGTGTCCAAGTCACTGCACATGCTTGAACAACCGCAAATGCAAGCCTGCCTCACTCCCTCAGACCTCAGGAACCTCGGAATACCAGTTAGAAAATTGCCTGCCTAATCCACCATGGTTAATGCCGCTGAATAAACCACTACCAGGTAGCCGCTAGCGATCACTAAGTATAGAGTCCTTCATGTGCTGGTTAGTATGTCTGTCTGCACTGGTTACGGCGTAAGCTTTCTAGCATCTGGTAGCTAGGATCACCTCCTTAGACAGGCATCACAAGTTGCCCATTGGACCGTGGAGTTTGGAGACCAATCATCGAGGTTTACTTCAGATGAGCATCAAGACAGGACAGAAGGTGGTGCTTGACCACTTGCATTGGACTGTCTGTCGCTTGTGCTCCGGGCTTCCAAACAGTTTCCCATTATCTAACATATCATGACTAAAGTGAGTGTCAAAGATGCCATAACAGCGTCCTTGGCCTCGCTAACTTGAAAGCACTGCACGGGAATTCGAATATGTGTAACGCTAAAAGCTTGGTACAATGCGCTAACTTGCCTGTAAAATGGTATAGTCGGCCATTGCCGTTTTCCAATCATCGTGAATCACCGCAATGGATACCGCAGCGAAACGTGTGTACGAATGAACACAAATTTGTTGCTTACTTCCAAGCAGGTCATCGCAGCAATATGCATCACCTCAGTTGCACTGCCATATACGCTGAGCCAGTTGCCCGTTAAATCATCTCCGAAGAACGCCATGCCAATCGAGATTACTAAATTGGTTTGACAACACAAGGAAGTCGAAAGTTACAAGCACAATATATTCCAAGTAAAACGGTGGATGTTGTCAATATGGTGCGACGAATACACTTGTTAAGCAGTGGTCAATATATAGGTGAACATACGGACTTGTGCGTTTCACCCAGTTACTTGCCATAGTGGTATACCATGATTAAAACCTTTATGTGAATCGCGATGGTCAAGTTGTTTTATCGCTAATGAAGAATTCACATTAACAATCAAGACGATTACGTGATTTAAAAATCACAAGGGAAGTCAGCTACATTGAACTGCTCCTTCTGGTGATCGAGGTAGGATTCTATGCATAGGATTGTCGCGTCAGTTCCCACAGACTGACGTTGGTTCGGTTGCGACTCCAGTGGTACCTACTACGTCCGGAAGCGAGATTACTTTGGGATGAGTGGATTGTCCGCTTGCGTATCTGTCTAGCTGTCATTACTTGCTATGAATCTCGATATCGTAGAACAACTTACTTGCGTATCCATGCTCGATGACAGCCTCTGTAAAAGTGTAAAGCTATAAAGTTGCAGCAAAAAGAACATTAATTTAAAAGGCATACAGTAGTATTACTTCCTGTTCGGCCATGTACGTATTGTATTAAATCTGTTAACTACAGGATCCCTGTCATATTGATGAATTGAATCACTACTGAATGCAACGAAATTGTTTCACTAAGATAGCTAGAGTGACAGAAGACGTAACAGTGTTCAAATATCATTGTAATCACTGGGATTAATTTACCGAATTGTCGTGGCAGGTTTAACCCTGTGCTGTTCGAGTCCGTTCTTCGTCTTTCACATTTTGAATACAATTCCCTTACAAACCGGTGCACTCCATCAGATCCTTTATTCTCTACGTTAACAATGACGTCAGTTTGATTTGGAAGTTTAGTAAATGAAGAAAAGTCACATCGGATCAATTCGTATGGCACGTCTGTCTTGGATGTAATAGAGGTCCGGAGCTGAAATCGCGTGACAAATAACGTCTTTTAATAAGTAACTGGTTTAGTGTGATCAGCTAGAACACGTTTCATCACGCATAAGCCAAAACTCCAGACATTATGCTGCCATATGTATAACAATAAAAGATGAACCAAAATTATTCAGTAAGGGCTTTATCTTCATAGAGCGTTCCGGCGTTTATGAGATTAATATTCACTGTTAGCAAGAAGTTAAATGCAATGCTGTTTACTTTGATGCAGATATCTTCATACTGTCTACATGTTGGATTATCTTCCATTTCCATTTTACTTGTAAATAGTACCGGATTGCCATCCTTCAGTAATACTCCTGTTATTATTATCACTGTTAGGATAGGCATAAATGAAGTACATATTACCAACCCGACTATTTACATAGGTACTTATGCAGACAAGAATTGGTTCTCTAGACCTGCAAATTGTGCACTGGCCATTCTGCTTTAACTTTACAATGTTGATTGCATGTTACATGGAATTTTGATGCAAATAATAACGTAGACACGACGGACGTAATGGAGAATTTCCAATCAGCAATGGGTTTGTAACGATCATTTCAAGCACTCCATTTCACTAATGTGGACTCACCATATAGATGCTCCAGTTGACATGGCGCAAGCGCAATTGCTGTTGAACGAAAGAGGTCGTCTCCAAGAAGTGTATGCTATGAAATCGTTTGACACAGAAGTGCTTTCTGAACTATATTAAGCCAGAATGCCTACAGCAATGTATCGGTTTCGCTAAATCGGTAGATATTGAACATCCTGCACTCGAAAGAGCTAGAATTTCGACTGGGCTGTCAACTGTTTCGGCAGTCAGCAGTTCGATGTTGTGGTTACGCATCTACGCGACGTGTGCTTAAGCTGTCAGACACAAAACCTCACTAATGTGAGCAAATGATTCTAGCACTGTCTTTGTGTTTGATGCAGAAACAACTAAAGTGCCAAGTGGCTCAGATAAGCTTGGGTTGTGCGTCATTTTGTCCTAAACAATTATTGCATGCGTGGCACCTTTTATGATGTACACATGACCTAATTGGATTAAGCAGATGTGTAAGTTTAAACTGCTGAAGTAAGGAGTGTGATTCGACAACAAATACATGCGTCTGCCTAATACATATAACTAGCTAAAATCTTTCTCCAATGTTCCATTACGGTAATGAAAAATATTATCTAATGTTGATTAAGCCTATTGGTCTGGTATCTACTGTATAGGAATAGATTATACTCATGGACAACACATTTCCGGGTGGAAGACAATCACTGAATAATCGACTTCTGAAGATAAGGTGCATAGTCATCCCGAGACGTACCCAGAATTAGTAAGTATTTTGACGTGAACATCACAGCGATCTGGCGATCTATCATTTTGATGCGCATCTAATTTATATACTCGCCACGTTGCTCTTTCCAGACAGTGGGCTTTTCTAGTTGGTGGATATGTGTGTCGCATACACGAGAATTTGTTAGCGATCTGTGCACCGATTGGGTAGCCGATAATCACTAATTGGTGCACCCGCATGCGAAATATTAATTTAATGAACAGTGGAGGAATTGTGAAGCTTAGTGTTGCTGAACGGAACATAAGTCGGTTCGTAACCACCAGGTTGGTCCAAGTCAGCTGAACGATGAGTATCCTTCCGTAACAGCCACACATGCGTTTGTCACGTAATAGAGATTTCAGGAGCCGTGTGATCTGTGTTTATGCCTTGGATGTGCGAAACACCGTGCTTCATGTTAAGGAACTGTTAGTCATTTCTTTTAACACAAACCCTGTCTACTTATCTACCGATACTTATGTCCCTGTATTAGCTAACATAATATCTTGAAGACGAAATCGGAGTAAAGTTGGGGTATAACAGTTTGGTGTGAGAACTTGGAACTGCATGCATATGGTATACACTACTATTAAACGACCAGTTTCCTGCGTGGGCATCCACATCGAACACTGCACCAACGAGATGCTCTGTGAAAAATTACCAGGTAAGATATATTTCGATGCCTGAGCCTTACTCTAGATAATCACAACTGGCATCTGCTGAACTTCGATCTGCGTCTACTTGCCAAACCATGTTTGTATTACATTCTGCTGCCGTCCTCGGTTTTCACACAAAACAAGCAGCGCATCCCAATCCATCGAGCCACCCAAATTGTTCCATGTGACACATTTGCCCGTCGTCAATGCATTCCAGCATTCACACACATATGCTTGGTGAAAACTGCCCCGTTGAAGTCACCCGGGAACCTAATACATTCTACCTTTTATACTATTTAAATCAAACTCAAAATTGCGTGGGATAGTGACCGAGTGAAAGTGCCAAGTATTGCAGCGAGTGGATACTTATCATCATCATCATCATTATACATGTCAGCTAGAGATGGTAAAACACCTCCGCTATTGTACCGCAATACATAAAGGAAATACATACATACATACAATACATAAAGGAAAAATAAATACGACAGTTGAATGCCAGCTGAGCTACCAGCAACGGATACGCATCGTTCCGGTAAGCTACTAGCCGGCTACTAGGCAAAAACAAAAATTTAATTACGTTTTACCCTACGAAATAAGATCATAGATAGAGGGGGAGGCTAAAGGGATGGGGAGGAACAAAGAAACTCACAGCAGGAACGCCACTGAGGTCGGCTCCTTGCCATATCATCAAGTGTATCCAGCCAAACGTGTTCACCGTCTTTTGGACCCCAACCAGGGAGCCGTGAAGCTCCAACTGAGGCCAGCTCCGAAGTAAGGGCCTTCATTCCTCTGGACCAAGTCATCGCTTGGCCACCTGTCCTCTTCTTCCACCCACATCCCCGGTGAGCAAACAACGCACGTCGAGGGAGTCGGTGGGCTGGAATGCGCAACACGTGGCCCAGCCATCGGAGCCTGGTGAGTGAAATGACGGTGCTGAGCGGTTCATTCCCTTTTCCTAGGCCTTAAACAAGGCGTCGAACACGCTCGTTACTCACGCGGTGTTCCCACCAGATGTGAGCCAAACTGCGAAGGCATCGATGGTCGAACGTAAGTAGCCTCTTCATGTCCGCCGATCTTAGGGGCCAGGTTTCGCAACCGTACAGTAAGGTCGAACGTACCGCTGCATTGTACACTCTACCCTTCAGGGCGAGAGTAATGTCGCGCCGTCGCCATAGGTGGCGAAGGTTAGCAAAAGCACTTCGAGCTTTCGCTATGCGGTTCGTGATCTCGTCTTCGATCCCAAGGCCGCTGATACAACTTCCCAGGTAACTGAATTTCTGAACGACTTCTAGCTGATCCCCACCAAGGGTCAGCACAGGGGGCGAACCCTGCCAATCCTGGAGGAACGCTTTGCACTTCGGTGGTGCAAAGCAAAGCCCGAAGCGACTGACAGCCAGTGCTAATCTGTCCAGCGCGGCTTGACACGTCTGGGAGCTGTCACAGATGAGGGCAATGTCGTCTGCATACTCTAAGTCAAGAAGTCGTTCTCCTGGGAGTAGCTCCACACCTTCCAAGTCATGTCCTGTAAATGCAATCTCCATGACTTCGTCAATAGCGAAGTTGAATAGGAAAGGTGACAGCGGGCATCCTTGCCTCACGCCGCTGGAGATATTGAAGGGTGGTGACAGCCTGCTGTAAGCCCTTACTCTGCCCGTGCTACGCGCATATAATGCTCGGATAAGATTTACATATTTCTCGGGCACACCTTTCCTGAGTAGACAATTCCAAAGGGCACATCGATCAACCGAATCGAAGGTACCTTTGATGTCAAGGAACACGACTACGGTGGGCCGCCAATATGTGTGACGGTGCTCCAACAACTGACGCAAGGTGAAGATGTGGTCGATGCAGCCACGACCCCGACGAAACCCGGCTTGCTCCTCACGAATCTGGCTTTCACGAGCGCCAGTCAGTCTGTGGAGAATTATGGACGCGAGTAATTTGGAGGCGATGGAGATCAGACTGATTCCTCTATGGTTGCTGCATTCCGAGCGCAAGCCGCCTTTGAAGATGGGAACAATAACGGAGCGGCTCCAGTCGGTTGGGACAGTTTCCTGCTCCCACAGTTTCACTAGTAATTCATGCAAAGCATCAACAATAGCAGAGCCTCCAAATTTGAAGAGGGCTGGAGGAAGATCATCTGGTCCCGCGGCATTGTTCAACTTCAACAGTCCGATCTCACGTTCGACTTCTGAGCGAGAGGGTGGATCCAAAGGGACAGCCCACGGAGCGGGGCGATCAGTGACCGGCGAATCGAACAATTCTTGCCGATTAAATTGCTTTTCAAAATGCTCAGCGCAACGCTCCAGACGTTTTGACAAATTGTGGATAGGCTGTCCACTCTCGTCACGTATAGTTTCACTAACACCAGGTCTCCTGCTGCCTGTTTCCCGTATCAGACGGAATAACTTACGATGGTTGCCAAGGGCAGCGGTCACTTCCATCTCTGACGCACGATGAGACCACCAAGATTCGCGGTCTCTCTTCAGGCTAGCACGGAGTTTTGCCCAGAGCTCTTTGCGAGTTTCATTGTGCTCGCTTCCAGCCGGGATTTGCCGGCGAGCATCGATAAGTTCCAGAGACTGCGAAGAGACCCAATGTCCATGTTGTCTATTAGACATACCACATGAGGATTTACCTGCTGCTAGTAAGGTCTGACGAACATGTGACCAGTGACCATCAATTGTCTCCTGTGAGCGCTTGCTCAACTCGCATGTTAGCGTACTTCGATACGCATTCAGAACAGCTGGTTTTGTCAGTTGGCTGGTGTCAATACGCTCACAGCGTCGTCGTGGGCGTCCGCCAAAACGCATCCGCATGTCAGCACATACAAGTGCATGATCGGTGTCCACACATGTGCTCCAAATCGAGCGACAATTCTGGATGCAGCCTCTCCAGCGGTAACTTATCGCAATGTGATCGATCTGCGTGCAAGGCTGGTTCGATGTTGGTGGGCGCCAAGTCAACCTTCGGCGGGTGCTGTGTCGGAAATTAGTGCTCGCAAGAAATAAGCGAGCATCTTCACACAAATGAAGTAACCGCTCACCGTTATCATTACGGGAGCCTACACCGTGTTGACCGCCCAGATGCAGTTCATTAGTGGACAACTTTCCAACTTGTGCGTTCATATCCCCCGCCAGCACAACAGTGTCCGTGCTTCTTCTGTGGCGAATGAGCTGGGTCAGTTGGCGGTAGAAGTCGTTCTTTACCGAATCATCGCTACAGTTTGTGGGCGCATAGGCAGAGATGATGAATAGACATCTATTAGTCCCGCGCGACTACGAAGCTTTAAACGAGGCAGCCAATCGGACCGCACACATCCGGCTACTGATTGGAATCCAATCAACCAGAGCAGCTTCAGCCCGGGGACTCAGGGCAATACCAACACCGGCTTGGCCGGTGCTCGAAGCTGCATCGTCACCGGATAGGCGCAAGGAGAAAATACTGCTTGCGTCACCTGAAGGGGATCGCAGAGTGAGCACAGTGCTCGAGTCTTGCAGGCGAGTCTCTGATAAGCAGCAGATATCGATTGAGAGGCTATCCAATGTTCGGGCAAGTGCTGCCTGTTGACCGATTTGTAGCAGTGTGCGTACATTGAGGCATGCCAATCTGAAGGAGGATCGAGGGCTCCAAATGGAAGCCGATGAACTGGATTGGACTGCTTGGTTGGACATGGGCTTGTCGACAGGAGAGGAGTGACGCTCCGCGTTCACGTGCGAGTTGAAATTAGAAGGTAAATGCCTAGCAAAGCATGTTGGGGGAGGGCCAAGAATCGGGGGGTTGAAAACTGGGGGATATAAGTGAAGTTGGAATGGGACGGTAAGAGTGAAAAAGCGTAAGAGGGGGAATAAGAAGACGGGAAGGCTTGAGCAGTAGCATCCAAACCCCTATCCACCCTGCTCGATGCAGCAGATAGGGCGCCGTTTATTATCCTCTGCGGTGGCCAGAGCATCAAGAAATTGTTTGAAGGAAAATTCATAGTATTGCGTGGGCAGTATGCTGTCAGGTTGCCCAGGCCTAGACAGGAGAACGATTAGGGTTCTCAACCAAAGCCTTTGGTTCATTAACCTGACCGCAAGGCAGCGGGTTTGGCGTTGGGCTACAAGGAGTCCATTTTAAGGAATAAAGTGCCACCCTCATTCCAACCCCCAACCTGGAGGACCAGGAGGCTGAGTTTGTCTGGCCTCTAACCATTGACCAATCTGGTATGAGTGACTCTGAAGGTGCTAAAAGCACCACCCAGCGTAGCTCAATGGATCGCTGAGGCACACAAACCATCGCACCACGGTAAGGTCCAGCTTCATTGCGATGGATACTAGGTTTTCATGATCGTTCTTCATGCTTCAGGTACAGTAATTTGAAAACTAAGCCCATACCTTTTAAAAACACAGTTGTTTCGGTACAAAGCATGATTGTTGATGTGTTTCTTCATGCCAATTGACATCTATTTGAATAATACAAAATTTTACTTTGAGCTTTGACTTGGCTTGTTCCTAGCGTTCTGGGCAACTAATACAGACCCCTGACATTCTTGGTTGACCGGTATTAGGTTGTCTCCAAGGCGATGGGATCTCTCCTCATCCATGGCTGCCAAATCTGGATTGCGTATTCCACGTGTGACGGTATGTATTAGCCGATAGGTTATGGAAAAGCAGAAGGTTGAATCGTCCGAATGCAAGCTTCAAGTGGCCCATGTTTTGGATGCACTTGTTTGATGACGTTTCAGCCTGCTCCGTGATTCTAAGGTCGATAGGGACCAAACATTTCAGATATTTCTCACCAGAAGAGTTTTGAAACTGCTCTTTGTCCTATCTGCAGCACACTACATATGTCTACATTGAATGGAGGCGGATCACCATTAACAAAGTTGTGTATTTGATGGAGTACGTCTGAAGCCGTGCTTTTCCGGCATGGGTAGTTAATTTATTCCAAGTAATTCTTTGGCGCATCCGTAAAAATATCCTCTATGACCTTTAAAAGAAACGGTAGTATGGTTATGGGACGGAAGTTGGCTGGATTGGAACGGTTGTCTCCCTTTTGAATATGAGTAGTCGTCCCGTTTTTCCACATGTCGCGCAGGTAAATTTTGTCAAAACAGTTTTGGAAGAATCGAGCGAAAGACAGCTAAACTCTCTACCACTGCAGCTACAGATCTCAGGTAAATATTATTAACTCAAGGACAGCTGTGCTTGCGCATGCTCAACAAATCTTTATTATAGTTTTTACTGTGAAGGATATGTGAGTGAGCTTCAGAAGTACAAGGACCATAGTCATAGAGTTTGTTGGGCAGTGCTCGCACTTAAATGTTGCAGTATATTGTAGGTGCAGGGTATTCACTGCCTTCATCGGTG